TTAGTGTTTCAGGATTTTAATCTAAATGAAAATGAAAAATCAAAAGTATAAATCCTGAAATATTTAATGGGCATACATGAGATATGCAGACTTATATGGGGGAAACCCTTTTTCAGAGAAGCGTCTACCCTTTTCAGACGCGTATGTAAAAAACCTTTGGGGAAGCCAATATTGAATACTACGAATCCATAAGTTGAAATGGAAATTTTAAATTACTAATTTGGATCTTGACGTTTCAGGTAATTTAAACCCTTTTCAGTTTTTATATTAAATCTGATATTCTTATATAGTAAATTTAAAAGTAAACTACGTACACGTCATCAATCAGCTGATCGGGCACGGTTGTCAATGTGATGCTAAAATCCTTGCATCAAGGGAAAGTGGTAGTGCAACTACATGGCGATAGATGGCGTTTACATGAATAATACGAAAATGTCAAAAGTCTGAGTTTTTATAACCTATATGATGCACCGCCAAAAGTATGTTTTTAGCCATTTTTAAAGACATTTTCTGATTTAAAACCCAAAAATTTTGCCATCTAAAGTCAGTCTCTGGTATATATATTATTATTTCATGTATCCAACATATATTTTGTTAAATATTCTAATATATAATTAATAATAATCCTATTTACCTTTCTAACAGCTGTTAAAGATAACAAAGGTCCATTATTATCCCGTTCTGCCTCAAAATAGCGTATTAAGGATGACACCAACTCTTGACTCCGACTATTTAAATGCTTCGGCATTTTAAATATAGAAAACACAAAAAAACTATATATAACAAACACAAAAACGGCAATGAAAACTTAAACGATATAAAATAACACAAACAACAAACAAAATAAACGAAATAATACACGAATTAAACGAAATATTCAAAAACACAACTGACAGCTTCGAAATTCTAAAACGTCAAATTCTTTTTTATGTGTCATTTAAATATGAAAAATTTGAATGTAAACATGACAACATCACAATTCTTGCCAACTTAATTTGGTTAAAATGCATTCAAATATTCAATTACAGACTTCGATTTAGTCATTTAGTGTTGGTACCAATGCGTAAAATTTTTGTTTTATTGATGACGTGTACGTAGTTTACTTTTAAATTTACTATAGGATCTATGTAAATAATGTACAGGGTGATCCCCTATAAGTGTCCCAAAAAATTTAAAAGTTTGGTTATGTAGGTACTAAAAAATACTTTTTTTCTACGTATAAAGAAAATTGGAAAATTGATCAGTATACAGGGAAAAACAAAAAGTTTATTTTTTTTCAATGGATCACCGTATTTATGAATTTATTTTTCGATTCCTTGTAAAATTCTGAGCATAATTTATATAACAAACCATATACCTAAATTCAACCGTTTCTGAAATATTCGCATTCGAAATGTCATCATTAAATGTTTTTTTAAACTGTTAGAAATCAAGAAGCCTCAGTATACCAAAATTTTTATTGAAAATAAATTACTATAGTGACATTATATCAATAAGTGTTGTTAAATAAGTAAAAATGGCGTACTCAGACAGAGAAAAACAAACTATTTCAACTTATTATCTTAAAAATAATTTAAATATTTCAGAAACGGTTGAATTTAGGTATATGGTATGATATATGAAATATGCTTAGAATTTTACAAAGAATCGAAAAATAAATTCATATATAGGGTGATCCATTGAAAAAAAATAAACTTTTTGTTTTTCCCTGTATACTGATCAATTTTCCAATTTTCTTTATACGTAGAAAAAAAGTATTTTTTAGTTCCTACATAACCACACTTTTAAATTTTTTGAGACACTTAAAATAAAAAAGTTAAAGGGGGGCGACATTATAGGGGATCACCCTGTACATTAAGCATACACCTATTTTAATTTAATCAAATAAATTGTCGAATAAAGTCAATAATTTTAATATTAATCAAGTCACCAAAGAAAAACAATGACCAACAAAGCCACTCTGATTCCCACGCAAAGGAATGCAAGTTTCGCGAAAAATTCGCCGAAAAAACTCCCAAACAAAAAAGGGGGAATTCTAAACAAAACACCGTCTATATTTAATAGGTATTGACGATTTTTTACTGTTTGCTCTTTACGGTTTAACCGAGGTCAGGAACTTTAAAAGTTTCGAGTTTTTTGTGTGTCAATTAAAAATGTTTTTACATGATTTTAAGGGAAATAATTAGGTACAAAATCACCGATTAATAAAGTTAAAATCAGTTATGATTTTTTTTACAACGCCACAAACAAAAGAATGTTCATATATATTATTGTAGGGGATACATTTTAACACAAACTTGGTTAAAATCGGTTTAAAAATAAAAGTTACAGACAGTCTTTCAAGTTTCAAATTTACAGTTAAAGGTACTTTTCTATAAGCGCATAATTTACTATAAAACAAAATAATGTTAGGTATCTTTATATATATTATTGTAGGGTAATATTGGGGCTACATTTTAACACAAACTTGATTTATATCGCCCTAAAAATAAAGAAGATAAAGCGACTTTTCTATATGAAAAACATTGACGATCTGGAATAATTTAACATGCTTTTGTAGAGTAATAATCAGGGTACAAAATAATAGTACCATTACCCAAATCGAATAAGTATTAAGAAATTTATGACCTTGTAAATAGGGAAGAATTTACTATAAAACAAAAATTTTTAGGGTATATTCATATATATTATTGTGGGGTAATATTGGACCTCCATTTTAAAACAAACTTGGTTGAAATCGGTTGAAAAACAAAAATGTTACGGACATTATAGTCGTATTAGACTACCTACACCAAACTATATTTATTTTCATCTACAAGTAGTAAAATCCGGATGTGACGCAGTTAATCGGCCAATTCATCAGTGATATTTTGTTATCACAGAATTATTTCTTTATTAGCTTCAATTGATTCTTGTTTGCCTTTGTGTATCCTCCAACGTTGTCAATTGGCTCAATATTATTAGAATCTTTTTCAACAGCAACAGGAAGTTCGAATAAAGGGTGCATATTATTGATTACATCCTCATTTAATATCATATTCGTATTGAGGAATTAATTCTTTTTTAGTTCTACGACTCGTGCAACTATTTTGCTATTTATTCTTACATCTATATGATAACACAGGTGAGATGTGCGAAGCATCTCACCGTTGTTCAACGTAGATGTTGTTATAAAAGAAAAGTGCAATGTGTACAAAAAGTATAAATCGTTTAATGTCAATCTTTAATTTAAATTAATCTATCGATGAAGTAATATTTAATTGTTTGATGACTCATCGGTTAAATATAAGACACTGTTTGATAAATCGATTGAATTGAATGTGAAAATTCGAGGTGATAAATTAAAACTATTATTTCTAAATGCTAAAAATCTCCAAAACAAGAAATATTTTAGTTATTACGGTGGCACTGCTTTGTGGCGCCATCTGCGCCCTTTCGGCAAACCACCTTCAGAGGCATGTTGATTTTAAGTGTAAACGAACGTTTTAAAGAGGTTGGTGTTGAAAATATTAAACAAATAAACTGACATGTAAAAATAAACGATGTTTTGATTAGGGGCTTGCCGATACTATTACATATTATGAATAAATTTATATTTAAAAACATTTAAAGAATGTTTTCATGTACACATTGCAACATATTTTTTCTTAGAATGCAAAAAAGCTTTTTTTAATCTTTTTTTAATTAAATGTAAATATCATTTTACAGTCTTAATTTTCCTGATAATTATTTTTCTGTGTATTTAATTTAAGTAAAAATCACGTTTATAAATTTTTATCTAGCTAATATTACTTTCATCATGTGCTACTTACATTGTTTTTTGTATACCAATGAAATCAATTGTGTTGGTAATAATAACGATTAATTTTTTAATGTATTTAAAAAAATTCCAATAACATAACATTATTTTTATTTATTGTTAATCTATAATTATTTTTTTCCGGTGTTATTATTATTTTATATTTTTTTTTGTTTGCGTCAATAATCAATTTTAAAATATTTCTAATTTTTGCGCTGATAATTTGCTTTTGGTATTTGAAAAGTTCAATAATTTGAGTTTCGATACCTTGAAATAAATTTTTGCTTTTTTTTAAGTTGCCTAGTTGCCCTAAATACCTACGTAGTTAGAAATATAACTCAAAATTCATAATGAATTTAAAAGTAATTTGAGTTTTCTTTTTTTTAAATTTGTAAATTTATATTAAGAAAAATGTCGAAAATTTTAGATGTTTTTAGTTTTACTTTTTTGACAATTTAAAAGCGTATTAGTGCCAAAAAAATATACCAGTTTCGAGTTAAGTAAAACATTTATAAATTTTAAAATAAACATACCGATTCTCAAAATTCTTTTGTTATACAAATTTATTTGGTATTTTAAAATACCAAACGTTTAAACTATTTTTTTGCTTTTGAATTTCCACTCGTAAATTTTATTTTGATATTTGTAGGTAACTTTACTTTACTTTTTTTCAAAAAACGTTTTAAAATCTTTGATTTATTAGAAGCTATTTATATTACTTTTTGGATTTTGTTAATTATTTTAATATTTTATATGGTATTTTTTTAAAAATCTTAAAATCAAGGATCTATTAGATATTGTTTTTGTTTTTGTTCTTAGATTTGGTTTTATTTACAAATTGTTCAAGATTTTACATTTTTCAAATAATATTTTCAACTTTTTCATTTTTATGTGTTTCATTGTGCCCAAAGTTTCCGACTTGATTTTTGCAAAATTTCCGATACTTTTTCCAAAAAACAAAACCCTACCTGTTTTGATGGTTTTATTTGGTATTTTTTTTTAAATCTTAAAATCAAGGATCTATTAGATATTGTTATTGTTTTTGTTCTTAGTTTTGGTTTTATTTAGAAATTGTTCAAGATTTTACATTTTTCAAATAATATCTTCAACTTTTTCATTTTTATGTGTTTCATTGTGCCCAAAGTTTCCGACTTGATTTTTGCAAAATTTCCGATACTTTTTCCAAAAAACAAAATCCTACCTGTTGCCAAAACTGCGCCAGCAAGTAGATTCTTTCCTTTTTGAATAACCAATCCATGGACTGTATTGTTTCCATATCTCCACCACCGGGTGGTATAGTCGCCGTAGCCGTGGGTTGCATTAAAAAATTTTCCTCGAACTGCGCCAGTTTAAATAACAGTTTCAAAACACACAAAATCCGAAAAAAACTTCCGCCTCAATTTTATCACTACCTCACATAGTCGTCATCACACGTACCCACACATAACACCAAATGACACTCGTTAATAATAATAATCTAGCAAGTCTTATTGTTTTGGTGAACAGTTGAACATCGTGACTCACTCAAAAACAAAACACGGCGGCAGTCGATCACGTGTCCTCATTCACCGAGTATCGGCCGCGTACTGAATCCTCGATTCGCATCTATAGTAGACTTGGCATCGTTCTCTCTTCACTTGTTTCGCTTCTCTGCAGGCTCCGCCCCCTTCGTCGTGCGGTGGCGCCACCTGGCGGCGTCTTTGATTTCTCTCGACTAACGCGTTCTCCGTTCGAGGCGTGCGAAGATTTGCTTTCTTCTTTGTCTGGCTCGCGTCGGGTATACGCGGGCCAATACGGGAGCTTCGTTCGGCTGTCGGATTTACTTTTTAGTTAAAAATCGAAGAATATTCTTTGAGAGACGACGCGAGGCTCTGGGTTCCCCTCCCCCGCCCGAGCAGTCAGTTTTGTACACACATATAGTTTTTATTGCCGTATCCATCTCTCAAATACGTATTTTTGACGTATTGGAGTTTTGATTTTTTGCAAACGTCAAAAATTGTTTTTAGATATATATTTTAGTTTTTATACCTTAACAGATTTTAACTTTTTAGTTATAAAACGCCCAGTCCCAAACTAAAAAATAAAACAAAATTAAAATTCTCGAAAACTAATTAATCCATTCACATTTTAAGTAGATTAAACACAATTGAACCAGTTCAAAAGAAATAAAGTGAAATTTTACAACAAAATTGTTGATTTTTTGCATACGTCAAAATTTGTTTTTAGATGATATTTTAGTTTTTATAATATTGAAAACGTCAAAAATTGTCTTTAGATGATATTTAAGTTTTAATACCTTAACAGATTTTAACTTTTTAGTCCAGTCCCAAACATTAAGAAACAAAAATAACACATTTTAAGTAGATTAAAAACAATTGAATCAATTGAAAACAAAGTGAAATTTTACAATAAAATTGTTTTAATTTTTTGCAAACGTAAATAATTGTTTTAGATGATATTTTAGTTTTTATAAATATATATAATATTGCAAACGTCAAAAATTGTATTTAGATGATATTTTAGTTTTTATACCTTAACAGATTTTAACTTTTTAGTTATAAAACGTCCAGTCGCAAACAGTAAAAAAATCAAAATAAAAATTCAATTTTTAAAACTTACTAAGTACCTACTCGAAAATTAATATTATTATCCATTCACATTTTAAGTAGATTAAAAACAATTGAACCAATTTAAAACAAAGTGATATCTTCCAATAAAATTGTTTGTTTTTTTGAAAACGTCAAAAATTGGTTTTGGATGATACTTTAGTTTTTATAATATTGCAAACGTCAAAAATCGTCTTTAGATGATATTTTAGTTTTTATACCTTAACAGATTTTAACTTTTTAGTTATAAAACTTCCAGTCCCAAACATTAAAAAAATCAAAATAAAAATTCAATTTTTAAAACTTACTAAGTACCTACTCGAAAATTAGTATTATTGTCCATTCACATTTTAAGTACATTAAAAACAATTGAACCAATTTAAAACAAAGTGAAATTTTCCAATAAAATTGTTTGTTTTTTTGAAAACGTCAAAAATTGGTTTTGGATGATATTTTAGTTTTTATAATATTGCAAACGTCAAAAATTGTTTTTAGATGATATTTTAGTTTTTACACCTTAACAGATTTTAACTGTTTAGTTATAAAACGTCCAGTCCTAAACATTAAAAAAATCAAAATAAAAATTCAATTTTTAAATCTTACTATGTAGGTACCTACTCGAAAATTCACATTTTAAGTAGATTAAAAACAATTGAACCAATTTAAAACAAAGTGAAATTTTCCAATAAAATTCTTTGTTTTTTTGAACGTCAAAAATTGGTTTTGGATGATATTTTAGTTTTTATAATATTGCAAACGTCAAAAATTGTTTTTAGATGATATTTTAGTTTTCATACCTTAACAGATTTTAACTTTTCAGTTATAAAACTTGACATTGAACCACAAATAGAGTGAAATTTTACAACAAAATTGTTGATTTTTTGCAAACGTCAAAATTTGTTTTTAGATGATATTTTATTATTTATAATATTGCAAACGTCAAAAATTGTTATTAGATGATATTTAAGTTTTAATACCTTAACAGATTTTAACTTTTTAGTCCAGTCCCAAAAAAACAAAAATAAAATTTAATTTTTAAAACTTACTAGGTCCTCGAAAACTAATTATTAATCAATTCTCATTTTAAGTAGATTAAAAACAATTAAATCAGTTGAAAACAAAGTGAAATTTTACAATAAAATTGTTTTGATTTTTGCAAACGTCAATAATTGTTTTTAGATGATATTTTAGTTTTTATAATATTGCAAACGTCAAAAATTGTTTTTAGATGATATTTAGTTTTTATACCTTAAAAGATTTTAACTTTTTAGTTATAAAACGTCCAGTCCCAAACATAAAAAAAATAAAAATTTAATTTGTAAAACTTACTAGGTACCTACTCGAAAATTAATATTATTATCCGTTCACATTTTAAGTTGATTAAAAACAATTGAACCAGTTCAAAACAAAGTGAAATTTTCCAATTTTTTTCAAACGTCAAAAATTGTTTTTTAGATAATACCTATTTAAGTTTTCATACAATAACAGATTTTAACTTTATATTTATAAAACGCCCAGTCACCAAATATAAAAAAATCAATGTTTAAACCTAAAACTTGAAAACTAATTGTCAAGAAATTATGCATATGCGTCGTCGTTACGGTTTGGGAGTAAGTAATTAACGTTTTTCTAAAATAAATCGCAGAACAACAAGACACTATTTAGACATTTTTTTAACGGATTGATTTTAAATCAACTTTTTAACAATTTTGGGGTAAAATTTATTTCATTAAATAAATAAATTTGTAAAACTTGTAAATATGTAGGTACCTACGTAAGGTTAACTTTAAAATTCAAAAGTCGAAAATTGGAGCAAATAATTTTAAAGATTTATATTTTAAAATAAATAGAAATCATGACAAAACTTTTATAAACGTTGGTGAAATCCATTCTCATTTTACGTAGATTAAAAACAATTGAACCAGTTAAAAAAATAAAGTGAAATTTTACAATAAAATTGTTTTATGTATGTATATTTAGGCAATAATTTTTTATAGATGTAAGAAAAAATGATAATGACGCCAATTTTAAACTATGTCAATTTTTTTAACATATTATTCATACCGTAAAAATCGTAATTTTGTCATTCTCGTTTTAAACGTGTTATATGGGATCGAGTGAGCCCTGCTTGCATTGTGCTTCCCTCTGGTGCGTAAATGCGTTTCACTTTTGTTTTAGCCTAATTCGTATATCAACCCCCTTATTCAGTTCTCTGCCTTACGCTCAGCGCGCTGTAAAAGAATACCTACAGTTTTTTTATTAATTACTTTTAAACAGTTTATATAGCAACTCAAAAAGTATTCTAATTAGGTATTAGCCTCATTTTATAATAATTAGGTACTTATTAAAATCATACAAATAACAAAAATAATTTAAACTGGTTTAATAAAAATTAAATGTATCATCATTTTGCAACAACCGGGGTCGCTCTTAACAATTTTCAATTGTTCGAAACAAATGAAGAAATCTTGTTATCGCTACGATCTAGAAAAACAATTGAATGGCAGGTTTTCGCTATTAAAACTAGCTTAGTTTTACATCATTTAATTTGTGTTATATACAGGATGTTTTATTTTAAATGTGACAAAAATTTAAAATCCAGCTTGCATGGATTAATAAAGTAATTAATAAAAACATGTTTTCTTACTACCTCGACTCAAAATACATTGTTTCGTCCCCGATTTCACGGCAGAAAGTTTACGTTTCTTGCATTGGTCAAGCTATACGCGCACACTCTAATAGCGGGAGTAAAAATTTTTTAGTCGTGTGCTTAACATTCAAATTTCGTACTGCCAACATGAGAAACACAAAAATATGACAGTTTTAAACCATAATTTTGCAATTATAACAACAAATTAACAATTTATGTTTTTACTTTTTTACTTTTTATGTTGTTTTAAGTGTTTAATGGTACTTTTATTTGTTATAAAGTAGTAATTTGTTAATTAAAATACAACGTTTTATTTTTACTGTATTGGCACCGCTGAATTCACGGCCTACTGTTATTTATTTATCAAGCTCTTCAAATGGAGATAGGTACATAAATACACATTTAATTTTTTCCCGTATTTTCGGCCGGGTTGTATTTTCGGCCGAGGTAGTAAGAAAAATAGTATACACTACACGGGCAGAAAGTCTGAGAGTCCTGAACTGCGCGCCATGATGCCCTCGGCTTCGCCTCGGGCATCATGGCGCGCAGTGCAGGAATCTCACACTTTCTGCCCTTGTAGTGTAATATACTATTACTTTACGACGTAAGTTCTTTATCCGTGGCAACTATGATTTTTACGTTGAAATAAGCCAGGTTTTTGGTTCAATTATTAATAATAGTATATTATGGTATCAAGTTTGATAATCGCCATTTTAGTCACGAATTGCTTAATAAATGAGTGGCTAGAAAAGTTTATAAACGAGTTGCATACTATACTTTTTTTACAACAAATACTTAATATTATCTAAAAAATAATTTCAATTAAATATTTGTATGAAGCGACATCTATACGAAAATAAAGTAACCATCCCAATAAACATTTTTGACGTAATTTTCACCATTAACATTGCGCGTTATTATTTTAATTGTACTAAACAATTATCGATACTTTAAATAATAACTTAAAAATATGATTCTGTTAAAAAAATATTTTATCCTTTATTTTTTTTGTTACTATAATTGCAAAATATGTATTATCACAAAGTATTAAAAATTCTTACACGGGAAATATTAAAGGTACAAAAAGTGACAAAAATCTTGGAAATATACCGGCGTTAAAATTTCAAATTTTTTTGTGTAAATCAAAATTTATTCTTAAAAATATACTAACAATCGATATAGAAGCAGTTTTTACAGAAAAACAGAAGAGAATGTTTTATGGGCACTGTACGCAACATTTTTAACGCTTTATCAGTTAAATTTAGTTAACTGTAATACTACGTCGAAATCAAAAAATCAGTACAAACGTTTATATAATCTTTTTAAATATTGGCGTAAAGAAACTAT